TGTTTTTCTTACAGAATAGCTCTGTAATATTTGTAAACACACGTCTGTTTAGCCAGCCAATTAATGTTAAACCAATGTTTGGACTTAGTACACATCTGCTATAAACATGAGTAATGCATAGCATTCGCAGTAAAAATACTGATTAGTCTGAATTAATCCATCTGATATGTGTATTAAAAGGCATTTAAATATGTTGTTTTAAGAAGTTCTCATAACCCTGGATGCCATATTTAAAAACAAACATCAGTACGCTATGTTTTGCAGCCTCTTAAACAAATAATCTCGCTTTGATTTAAATAACATTTATTTTACATGACCAAACACAATAAATAACGTAATATACAAAGCTTTATAATTATTGCACATTTGTAAAATATTTTACAGTGAGTTCATACAGCCAGCAATATTTAAAGCACAAAGACTTTATTTACAGTTTCATATAATAACCAGGTCCAACGGACCTAACATAAAACGAATTTATGTTAATTTTACCAACCAGCGTCCTCATCGATCACTTAATGGACATATATCTATATTTTGGAAAAATGTAAACATCATTGCCAAAATCGTCGTATATACATCCCATACTTGTGTGATCATAACAAACGATTCCAGCGATCGAAAAGGTTAAGCTGGTAAAAGAGTGCTACGTTTTGGTCTATTTTCTTTAGCCTTAAATTATATATTAATAAAAAAATTTCAATGTAAACTCAGCGAACAACAGCTGGTATAATCGATATTTTTTACATAAGTAGTCTTCCTATTCGTCCTTTACAAAATGAGAAATTTGTGGGTTAGGTGTCTTCTACCGTGCTTTAAAGTTCTCTACCCAGAAAATGTACACTTCTTGTCAGGAATCCGCTCCGGGAGCCTGGGGATATTTCTCCTTTGCCCTTCCCTACCCCCGCCCAAGAAATCTGTCCCGTTGGACAAAAAAACCCTACGATTTATGTTCACTGAACAAAACAGCATAGCCTTTAAAATCATTTCCTGGAAGTTCATTATTAGAATATGAAAAAATCCAGTGTCTTAAAAATAGAAGTATTTCAGGACACTTATTCGAAATATATAGTAGAGATTTTTTTCCTTTTGTGTGTGTGTGTGAGAATGTACGCGCGCGTGTGTATTCACATTCACACAGGGCCTAAACAAGCAATAGCAAGTTAGATGAGGGCTTCAACTCTTCAGAAAAAATCTCATTATGTGAAGAGTGAAGTGGCTCTGTAGGGAGCATTATGGAAATATCTGGGTTTGATTTAATGAGGCTCTTCACATTGGTGGAATATCAACTTAACAGAGAAAAGTCTACCCGGGGCGTCCAAGTTACCAAAATGAAAATTGGCAATTGAGATGATAAGAAAGTGGCTTTCTTGTGCGAAATCACTTCAGGTAACAGAGATAACATTAAATAACATACATTCTATGCACCAAGAACAATGTTTTATGTACCAAGTCTCTTATCTGTCTCTTCTAATGACTTCCCTTAGCGGGTTGTTAGTACTTGACAGCAGGTCTCTGTGCGGGGAACTTTTTTCCAATTCCACATTCAAAGGAGGTCCATCAGAGAACATGATTGGCAATTTTCGTCATAATCTGCACATTATTAGCATCAAAATTGACATGGCAGTAACACTGGTGGTTTTTGATGTGCCTTTCTTCAAGTTCAAGGAAGTCCCTCCAGTAGCAGTGGTTTGGTATAGCAGGTCTCAGTTACCCAGTGGTGGCTTTTCAGAGGCAAAGGCGCGATAGAGATGCGTGAGAAATAAATCCAAGAGCCGTTTTACCGAGAGGAGAGGAAGACGCTAAGAAAGAAATTAAATTTAGAAAAGTGTCTGGAAGGTAAATGCTTCAGAACGACAGCCTACACCTAGAGAGATTCAAGTATTTCCCAGAGAGCGTGGATTATGGTAGTTAGAAAGCGTGAGCTTAAAAAATGCCTCTCCCCATCCTGTCAGTCCAACACTTCCCTTCCCGTTACTGGCCCGGCCGCGGCAGCCTCATTAGCTACCGCTTGTCGTACAGAAATACGCGAGACGTTTCCCATTTAGTCGAACTCAACCCGAAATAATAATAATAATTAAT